CAGGGGGACCTCGAAGCCGGGGTGGGGGTGAGCGGGGGGCCGGGGGCGGGGCTCCCCACACTGCCCGGGCTCCGCCTGAGTCAGGTTTTCCAGGAGGGACGTCTCTAGTTCCCGGGTGGGGCCCGGAACCCGCGCGGCTGCCGCGTCTATATGGACCCGGAACTCACTTCCGGGCTCGTGTCTACACTACGCGGCCAGGCCAGGCGCGGGACAAGGGCTAAGGCTCGTTGGTCCCGGAGGAAGCAGGATTTCCACGCCCCCCCCACCACGAATCCCGGGAAAGTTAAAAATAGAATGAAATGTCCAAATACGGCCTGCCGGCGCGCCCAGGCGGGCGGAGTTTGGGTGCGGGACACTGTCCATCCACATACACACTTTGGGGGGCGGGCCCCGAGTCTTTCAGCCCAGGGAAGATTTCTTTAGGTCCCTAGTCAGCATGGAGCACACGCCCCAGGGACAGTGACGGCCACATGGCACCCTTGTAAAGCGACACCTACGGAGGTCTGTTTCCCATTTGGGAAACCCACATCCGACCTCCAGCATTTGGGGTCGACACCCTTCTCCCCCATCCCAAACACCCCACGGGGCCTCTGTGCCGCAGGGACTCCCCCATTCTCTCTCTCCTGTGGAGGGGACCCTCCTCCTTGTCCCTCTGGATCCCTCCACACCTTCTGCCCAAGACCCCTCCCGCTCCTCAAACCAGCCCCCCGCAGCCCAACCCTCGCTGGGCTGTCCAGGCAGCAGCCCTCCTCCGGTCTGAGGGGCCACCTCTCGCTCAGATCCCCTGCTGGTGGGGATGGTCCTGGCCAGTGCCTGCAAAAGGCTGGGCTTTTTCTCACTAGCGGTATGACCATGAGCAAGTCGCTTAACTTCTCGGAGCCCGTTCATCCTTAACGTGAGGCTGATTCCCTCCTAAAAGGGTTGTTGGGTAGCCTGAGGTAAAGCGCTAGGGCACCTCGCAGACCCTCAGTGAACACCACTACCTCGCTCCCTTCCTTCTCTCTGCCAGACACTCATTCCACACATGCCACGCTTGGGGGCAGACCTAGTGAGAGCCAGGCCCAGGCCAGACGGGTCACACTTCTCATCCAGTGGGAAAAGCCCCCCGCCCAGCTTTACCTGCCCCCCACCTGACAGATAAGGAAGCTGAGGCACACAACCGCGGACACTGACTTGTCCTGGCGGGGAAGGCAGAGCGGGGACCCAAAGCCTCAGCTTGCCCCACCCTCGGATCCGGGCTCCCTGGGGAGGCCATGAGGCTGCGGCAGGTGCGGGCTGTGGCCTCGAGGGGAAGGCTCATTACTTCAAGAACAACAGCCCGGCCCGAGCCGCGGCCCGGGGGACCCTGTAGGGGAAGGGGGCGCCAGCTGGGAGATGGGGCTCTCTGGAGGAGGGGGAAAGGGACTGGGTGGCGCAGCGCGCAGCTGGGAGATGGGTGGGAACCGGGGTGTGGGTGTTAAACGCCACCGGCAGAGGCGGGCTCAGGGAGGGAGGGGGCGCCCTCCGCAGTGACCCCAGGTTTAAAATCCAGAAGGAGCGGGGAGGTGACTCAGCCTCCACCCACGCAGAAGTGGGCAGTGCCTTAGAAGCCTAGGGACAGAGAGCCGAGAGAGCCCCCAGCAGAAGTTCGGCGCTCTCTCCACTCCCTGCGGTGGGGGGACCCAGCTGCGACTCCCGCGGTCCGGGGCCAGAGAGCGAGGCGGAGCTTCGCGGCCGCCGTGCCCGCCCCGCCGCGCCCCGCCGCGTCAAGCGGGTGGAATGAAGGGAATCCGCGTGCGGAGGGGTCCGGCCGGCTCCCCCCCATCCC